ATTCCAAGCTCTTCACTCCTTTTTTTTATTAAATCTTGTGTGATACTCAATATCTCCTCAGAGCTTGGATTCTTTTTATCTGATTATAATGTTTCTTCTTTGACCTGGAAGGTCTGGATTGTGACTGCAAAGTTTCTGGGAGTTTTCATTTTGGATTTTCTTTCAGGAAGTGACCAATGTATTTTTTCTGTTTTTACTTTTTCTTCTAGTTCTAATAGCTCTTGGCAGTTTTCTTTCATGTTTTCTTGAAATATGATGTCCAAGTTCTTTTTGATCCTGACTTTCAGGTAGTCCAATGATTCTTAAATTATCTTTAGTTAGTCTTTTTTTATTTCCAGGTCAGATGTTTCTTATATGAGATGCCTTTCATATTCTCCTTTTTCAGTCTTTTGACTTTGTTTTTAATATTTCTCACTTGACTGACTCACTGACTTGTTTTATTATGGCATCATGAGCTTCTCTTAGGCCCATTCAAATATTCAAATACTCTCTTACTTGGGTAAGGTTTTGTATCTCTTATGCTATTCTATTAATTCTCCTTCTATGACTTACCTTTAAAGCGTTAATTTATTTTATTTTTCCCCATTTTTTTCCAGTTGTAAATGCACTGTTTATTGAGAGGGATTTTAGAGGAGAGAAGTAGCATTCTTTAAAAAAAGTGATCAATATTAATCAACTGTCATTGACCAAACTCAACAAAGACAAAGACAGGTAGACACTTGGCACTCTCCCCACTCTACCTTCCTCCCTCTCCTTGCTGCCTCCATTAGAGTATGGAATGAAGGACCTTAAGCCCATCCTAAGTTTGATAACAATTGCTCAGTGGAATAACTGGCAGAGGGGTAGAACTTTGTCCAGAAGAGAGACTAAGTGCTAGTCATTGCTCTCAGAGGCAGTGAAAAGAGCACCAGGTAATGAGCAGTTGTGGTCTGAGGCCTCTTAGGGGGGCTGCGGAATTCTATTCTGATTTCTTTTTTATCTTTTTTTTATTTTAGATTTAAATATTAAAACTTAAATACATAATGAGAAAAAAGAAACATATTATAAACTTAAGTATTAAAACAAATATAAAATAAAGAAAAGAAAAAACATCATGTACACAGTAGAACATAAGAGAGTATTCAAAATATATAGCAATAAATTTCCATTCCAATAAAGCCTATATAATAAATACTACACATTGTGTTGAGAACTGTTCATCTTTTCTTTGTTTCCTTGTAGGTATTCTTTTGTTCTCTGCTGTACACTTTTTACTTTGTTCTTTTCCCTCCTTCCTCTCCCCAGGCATTAAGCATGGATATGTTTATATATAAATACAGAAATACATATAAATGTATACATATATACATATACATATATATACATACATACATACATACATAAACATATACTGTCCCTGACAGATTCTACTCCTAATCTTTATTTTTTATGTTTTTGTGTATCTCTTATTTCCTGTCCTTCCTGACTCCTCTACTTTACTTCTACCCATACCTTGCCCTCCTATTACTTAACTTACCCCACCTCCAAGGATCCCTCCCTTATCCAACCATTCCCATAAATCTAAGCACCCTTTTATATGGCACTTTGACCAATTCCTTCGATCTCTTCTCTAAAGATCCCTCCTTTATCCTCTCCCTATCCTCTTTCTAAATTTAGAAGACTTTTATACTCTTCTAGATGTATATGTATTGCTCCCTCTTGAATCTATTCCCAATGAAAATAGGTTTCCAGAACTAACAGCCTTCCTCCTCCATCTAATTCCTCTGTATCCAGTCTTCCTCTCACACCTCATTTGTATAAGGTAGTGACTCTTTTAGCTCTTCCTTAACAGTTTTACTTTTTGAAGTTATATCATGCCCAGGTCTACCCCAATATGTCTTATGAACTACCCAGTTACCAGTAACAATCTTAGATATACATTTTATATTTTACATATGTAAAAGGTAAATGGTCTGTCCTTCTTGAGTCCCCTTATGAGATGTTTCACATTCTCTTCTATTTTCATTCTTTGTGTTTTGTTTTATTATTTCTTGATCTCTTATAACTTCACTGGCTTCCCCTTGCCCAATTCTAATTTTCAAGGAGTCATTTTCTTCCTTAAGATCCCAGATCTCCTTTTCTAATTGGTTGACTTTCTTTTCACCATCTTCTTGTTTTTCTTGGATTTTTTTTTTTAGTTTTTCCTCAATCTCTGTCATTTGATTTTTAAAGTCTTTTTTTAGTTCTATAAATTCTTTTTGGGCACATGACCATTTGACAGTACTCTTTGGGGTATCAGAGGGTTTCTTTGTTTCAGTATCCTCCTCTGAAGATGAACCCTGATTTTCTCTGTTCCCATTGTAACTCTCTGTAGTTGGATTCTTTCTCTTTTGACTGTACATTTTTTTTGGTAATAGCTTAGTTTTTGTAATAACCTCTAGTTCTGGGATATGAGGGATGATGCCTCTGGCCTAAGATTCTCCTTCAGTTCTCCCCTCTGACCTTGAACCCAAATCAAGACCTCCAGCCTTCTGTAAGTGCCCACAGCAAGTGGCCCCCTGCCCCAATGCTTCTGCACTCACCAGGTGTGATCTGGTTCCTTCTCACCCCAGTCTGCATCTCCACAGCACAGCTGAGTCTGGTGTTGCTTGTCAGCAAAGATTCCCTCAATCTTCCCCAGCTCAGATGCCCAACTCCCTTCACTGTCCCAGGGGTGAAAGTTCCTGTGGCTGGGGATGAGATAGCCTTCCAACCCAGCTAACCCCAGGGCTTGCTGCTTGTTGTTTAAGTGGATTTATGACCTAGCCTGGAGGTATTCACTCTTCACTGGAACCAAACCTCATCCTCAGACTTTTCTTCAGATCTTTTCTCCAATTGTCCCAGGAGGACCTTTGTTCTGCCCTTACTCTTATTTATTTTTACCACTCTACATTTCATCTCTTCTTTGGGGAAAAATCTTGAGCACTTGCAATTTTCTGACCTAATCTGCCATCTTCCCAGAAATCCTCTCTATTATATTTTGATTTCACATATCACTCAGAGCCTTGCAGGCAAAGTCAGATACCATAAAAGCTGTACAATAGATGTCTGAGTTATAGTATTCAAGATTCATCTTCTCAAATTATTTTTTGTTTGTTTTATTTTTTATTAATTTATTTTGAGTTATCAACAATCACTTCCATAAGCTTTTGAGTTTTAAATTTTTCTCCCCTTCCCTCCCCCTCTCCATCTGCAAGACAGCACACAATCTGATATAGGCTATACATATACCTTCCTTTTTTTTGTTTTGTTTTGTTTTTGTTTTTAGGCAATTGGGGTTAAGTGACTTGCCCAGAGTCATACAGCTAGTGTTAAGTGTTTGGTCTGAGACCGGTTTTGAATTCAGGTCCTCCTGACTTCAGGGCTGGTGCTCTACTCACTGTGCCACCTAGCTGCCCCCTTATACATTCCTATTAACCATATTTTCACATTAGTCATGTTGTAAAGAAGAATTAGAACCAGTAGGAGGAACCACAAGTAAGAGGAAACAAAACAAGAAAGAAAGAAAAGAAAAGAGCAAATAGTATGCTTTGGTCTGCATTCAAACTCCTTTGTTCTTTCTTTGCACGTGAATAGCATTTTCCAATGTGAGACTTTTGTAGATGTCTTAGATCCTTGTATTGCTGAGAACAGACAAGTCTATGAAAGTTAGTCATCGCACAGTGTTGTTGTTACTGTGTACAACATTCTTCTGGTTCTGTTCACTTCACTCAGCATCAGTCCATACAAGTCTTTCCAGGTTTTTCTGAAGTCTCCCTGCTCATCATTTCTTATATTATAGAACAATAGTATTCCATTGTATTCATATACCACAACTTGTTCAGCCATTCCGCAATTTATGGACATTCCCTCAATTTCCAATTCTTTGTCACCACAAAAAGAGCAGTTATAAATATTTTTGTACATGTGGGTCCTTTTCCCATTTCTATGATCTCTTTGAGATACAGCCCTAGAAGTGCTATTGCTGGATCAAAAGGTAGGCACATTTTTATAGCCCTTGTTGGGCATAGTTCCAAATTGCTCTCCAAAACGGATGGATCATTTCACAACTCCACCAACAATGCATTAGTGTTTCAATTTTCCCACATCTTCTCCAACATTTATCATTTTCCTATTTTGTCATATTGGCCAATCTGATAGGTGTGATGTAGTACCTCAGAGTTGTTTTGATTTGCATTTCTCTAATCAATAGTGATTTAGAGCATTTTTTCATATGACTATAGATAGCTTTTAATTTTTTTTAATTCTTGACTATCTGTCCAAAGTTGCTAAAAATTTTTATTACTTCTTTTAGTGAGAAATGTTTCCCATATCTATTACATCAAAATATCTTCAAGAAGATAAAAATTAATGCTGCCTAGGTCTCCAATCCTCAGGTTTCTTTTTTATGAATTTATGTGTTGGGGTTGGGGGACCAGCAGAGGGGATTTTTCTTCCTGAAGTCTGAGAGAATGGAGTGACTTCTGAATGATAACTGATAATGTTTCTTGATAGCTAAAAGTACTCTCAAAAGATAAAAAATGTCTAGAAATAAACAGGTAGTCTACTGGGATCAGGTTGGTTCCTAACAATTTGTTCTTTCCCTTTGAATGTAACCCGGATTGGCAAAGAAGTATTAAACAAAAAAATTTTAGACAGATTGATCTGAACATAGATCTTTAACTACAGGACAAACAACTGAGATCTTTGGCCCAATCTTTGAGGATTTTCTTTCTCTTATAGGTTTGGAAATCCATGCTCCTCCATGTAGAGGAAGAACTGGATTCATTATAAACCCATATTTCAATGTTTGAGATTAGTGTCTTAATTTCTGCTAAATAAGGTAGTATTATGAAATGATATATTTGATAGTTCCTGTGATTATTTGGCAGACATGTGTAATGTTAGAACTTGAGCTACATTTTGGAATTCTGAACTAAAAAGTGCATGAAGAAAGGTGAGAAATGATATAATAGTAATTTTTTAATTATTGTTTCATTTAGGGATCCTTGGATATACCAGTGGACTTTCTTTAACTTGCATGCTTTTCTTTCTCATAGTGGTAAGTTTTTGTTGAAAGAATTGGATTGAACTTTCCATGACAGTTCCATTTAACAACTGTTCTTGCTTTATAAAATATAATCTACCACATTTCTTGTTTTATGTAATTAAAGATTATCTACGAGAAATTTCATTTAAGTTGCCCCATGTCAGAAATAAATAAATCAACACTTTCTAATGCAACAGTTAAGGATATGTGTACACCAAGATACATTGTGTTCAACTTTAAGGTATGTTTTTTAATATAAAATTTATTTTGTATTAATTATTATTAACATTATTAATCAACTCCTTGTAAAATTGTGTAGAGGTGTGGGCAATTCCCTTTTCCTCTCTTTATGCCAAGCACCTAGGTTGATGGAGAAAGAAGAAAGGAAAGATGCAGGGTGTGGTGGTGAGCACAATTGTCCTAGTGTAAAAAGATTTATTCTTAAATCTAAATGGTGACGTTGGTGGATGGGCAAGTTGCTTGATCTCTCTGAAGTTGTTTCATCATCTATAAAATGGGGATAACAGCATTTGAATTACCCATCTCACAGAGCTGCTGTAAGGAAAGTGTTGTACAAACTTTGAGTACCATCTAACAATGAGTGATTATTACTAAAGGATTTTCAACCTAAAAACTGTAAACTCAATTATATCAGAATGAAGAATTGAATGAGTATGTGTGGCACTCAGATGGTGCTCAATGAAATCATCAGAGCTAACAGAGATGAAGTATTGTGGTGTTGTGTGGTAAGGAACCTGAGCGGCAACATTTTGAAGATAAATCCCACGAGAATGACAGATGACCAGCGTCTATGCTGTGCCATTGTTTTATTTAGAAATTTTTTTATCTTTTGTTTCCATATATATCTCTCTGTTCCCCTACCCAGCATTTCTTAATCTAAATCTAGCTATCCCTTGCAATAAAGAATAAAAAAGATAGAGAAAAAAGGCAGTTCAGTAAGTGTAATCAACAAATCAACTGAGTCAAACAGTGTATGCAATGTCCCGCAGCCATTAAAATTGTGCAGTGTTTACTTTCTTCTTTCCTCTCTCTTTCTTTTCCTTCCTTTTGTGTTATTTTCATTTGCATTGTTGTAATTATTTTGTATACTGAATTTGAGTCATCTGGCATTAGTTCATGTGAGTCTTCATGTACTTTTCTGAATTAATTCTTCATGTTTTTGTTTCTTATGTGTGCCGTTTTTGTTTTTCTAAACCCTCAGAGCTGGTGTCTCTACAGCCTTATTTTAAATTATCCATGATTTGGGTTCTATTTATCATTCAAGATATGACCATTTGAGGTGTCTGAATTTCATCAATCAATCAGCAATTCATGATGAAGTTCAATTTGACTAATTTTTTCATTGAATTGATTTGTTGCTTCCATGAATTAGCCAAATCTACAAATAGTTTTGTTAGTGTATAGACACAGCTTTAATTTCCTTTTATGTAATCAGAAAGTGGGTTCCAAAGTGAATTCTTAGTAATATCTTTTGTTAAATGCTGAATGTCCCTTTTTTTAAAAAATAGAAAGGTAGACTGAGAAATCTTGAGTTTTTATTCAGTGAAATGTGACATGGTCAAAAATTGAAAAAAAGATAAGAATAGGAAAAGAGCTATAAGACATAAAAGGAATGAAAGAATGTCATAATATCTTGAAATGCTTTATTCTAAAAATTTCCTTTAGTTAGTACATATTTTTTTTCATGTAGATTTTAGTGTTAAAATAGTGCAAGGTAAAATCTATGTATGTATTTATACACAAACATACACATGCACAGAAATTACCTTGCTCTATTTTGACATCAAAGGCTATGGGAAAAAAATTTCATGATAGATTAACTTTTTTGAAAGAGATACTGCTGTTAAGTAGATCAAATACTTCCTAATAGTAATTTAAGAGCCTTGGAAAGGTTAAGAAATAAAATGAGAACTCCAGAAAAATCAAAGCTACATAATTTGTGTGGGAAAAAAATGACTTTTCCTAATATATTAACTTCTTTTCTCTCAGAGTGTTTATGCTTTACCCACTATTGCCTTTGCATACGTGTGCCATCAAGCAGTCCTGCCAGTTTACAAAGATCTTAAAGAGTAAGACTTGCAATTTAATTTTTGTGGCTAAATAGTTTTCCTAGGAAATACAATTTCTTTGCAGAGCTACTTCCCCTTACTACTGTTTCAGTGAAATGTGAAAATGAAAACAATAAAAAAATCTGTAGGATCCATGAGTTGATGCTATTGGAAAAATTTGAAGTGTGTAGGTCATAGTTTTTTGGGTTTTGTTTTAATTATATTGATTTTGGACCATTAAGCTCCTTGTATTGCTAGACATCAAGGAGTTCTAACAGATACTAAGTGGTCATTGTCAAGGATGTTATTTTAAACATTGATATAGTTGGTTAGGAGACTGATTAAATAGCCTTTAAGGTCCCTTCCAATGCTAAGGGATTGTGATTCTATAAGTTACTCATGTTTGTTTCATAAATCTGCAGAGGTATTTATTAAACTTAGTGTCTAAACATGCTAATATAATTAGAACTATTTGCCAGTACTTTACCAACCAAACAATAACCATAAGGCACAGCAATAGAAAAAATAATATTTCCAACCTTGAACTGTATAACAGATTCTGCCATGCTACTATCACCAATTGCCTTTCCATTTGAGAATTAAAAGTTCTCATATATTCTTTTTCTAGTTTGATATGTAAAAGCACCTAGGTATTACAGTGTTGTGGCAGCAATATTACACATAAATATTTTCTTCACTGTAAGTTCTCAAGAAAATAAAATAAGTTGCCATAAATTTGGTGAAAATTTTTCTTTCAACTTTTGAAATATATATGTGACAACTCTACTTTTTTTCTGTGATTTAAATTCAAGTGTGTCTTTGAATTTTTTTAAAAATGCTCAAACTAAAAATCTCAGTTTCTTCTGTTTTTCTTCAACGTGGACTTTGATTTTGGCACATCGTTTGTAATTGTCCTCCAAATATTTGTGACTCACCAATTTGCTAAGTTTGCCATTCTCTCAAAAGACAGAAATATGTATTTGGACAGTCTAGTAAATTTTAGGGCACATAACAACAACAGAGTCATATTTGCAGTAGAAACTGCCCTGAATCATTAGGGAAACTATAAAGCTTTCTAGCCGTTGTTGTGGAGACTATCTGGAGTACCAGGAACATCTTTTTACAAGAATCTTCAAAAAAAACAAAGGGAGTTTCAATCCTCATTGATCTCTTCTGGGAATTAGAGAAGAATATTTTGAATATATTATGCCAGTTTCTTACACACAATTGATAATGGAAAAAATTACTATCAAATATAAATATTAAAACAGTATTTTCAGATCCCCAAATAAAGCCCTTTTAAAAAAAGTAAAAGTTTACACAGGAGCTTGCTGGTATCATAGGTTCTTTTTCTCACAATAACCACACTGGACATTTTAAAATATCTAATCAATATAGATACACTATGGCAAGTCAGAGATAAGTTTTTGCATTTACCTGAATTAACTAGGTGATTCCATCTGTGAATCTTTACTCTAATTTTATGGAAAAACATTAATTACTTTTTCTGGAACTTAAGTACATATTCTACAGTGTTAATACTATTGAACAAATACCATGCACATACTTTTTTAATGCTCCAAAAATTTTTTAACAGACGTTCATTGAAAAATATGAAGATTGTTACCAATGTTTCCATTTTGTCCATGTGTTTTCTGTATCTCATGACTGCATTTTTTGGCTACCTGACATTCTATGGTAAGCAAGTAACTTTTGTCAACATTTAGATATGTATATTACCTATGTATTTAAATAAATACATTCATTTTTATTTAAATTATATAAATTTCTATGTATTTAATTTAGTAAGGAATAGTAAACAAAAGAATCAGCACCATTTAAGTCAAAGAAAGTAATTAAATGTCACATGATTGTGATTTTTCTTCTTCTTAAAGAAAAGAGGTAACAATTTTCATATATACATTAAGCTGAATATTTATATGCTCCACTATTTTTTCTTAGGAATTTCCATAGACACAAATTGGGTTTTTTAATAGATGTCTTTACTGAGAAAACTTGCTAATATATTGAAAAATATAAAGGAAGACTCCCTTAATTGATACTTATAAATTAGAACAAACCACCTTAATAGAAAAGCAGTGCTGAGATATGTGTTGAAAGCTAGAAAGACCAGTGACAATACTTAAGATACTATTCTTCAATTAAAAATAAAATTCCTAATTGTTCACTGGAAATTAAAACATCACAATGGTTTGAATGAGGAAATAGGAAGTTAAAAGAAATGTTTTTTGGAAAAGAAAAGAAAATATTTTCTTTTTATTGGCTCCATTGAACCAAGGCCCACTTGTCTTACTTCTCTTCTCACTACTCTAGCTATTCAGGCAATCATTAGTGCCTTCTACTCTTTGGCTTATTTAGTGTTGAAAACTTACTTTTTTTATTAGGTCAAAGAGATTATAATTTTTCAGTAAAACTTGAATATTCCTCACTATTATAGAATAAAGCTTCCATCAATAAAGATGAAAGCAGGCCTGCATGGACTACTCAATAGCCTGAATTTTAGAATGTTTTAAGAAAAATGCTTTTAAGCACATTATATTTTAAGCATATTATTTTTAATCACATAGCATAACAAGATTGGTTGGTAATTAACACATTTGTTTTATTTTACTGTGGTGTTCCTTCAAAATTGCTTGTAAAGTTTGGTATGAGAGCTTATAAATTGTTTAAATATTTATTCTTGTTTACATGATTTATTTCCTTAATACATCTGCATGAACTTCTAAGTGATGATGAATTCTGAACACAGGTCAATACCAATTTAATATCATTAAGGTTTTACTATAAATTCAATTCCTTTCACAAAAGGAATTTGGGTTTTTACAATTTTATTTAGTATTTTATTGTTCACTAGTTACATGCAAAAACAATTCTTAACATCCATTTTTGAAACTTTGAGTTCCAAATACTCTCCCTTCCTCCTTCCCCATTCCCCCCTTCTTAAGAAGGCAAGCAATTCTATATATTTTATACATATTTAATCATACAAAATATTTCCATATTAGTTGTGAAAAAAAATAGAACAAAAAAAACTTCAAGAAAAATAAAGTAAAAAATATGTTTCGATCTGTATTCAGACACCATCAATTCTTTCTCTGGGGATGGATAGCATTTTTCATCACAAGTCCTTTAGAGTTATCTTGGATCGTTGTATTGCTAAGTCATTCACAGCTGATATCCTCAAGTATTGCTGTTATTTTGTACACAGTACATTCACTTTCCATCAGCTTATGTAAGTCTTTCCAGGTTTTTCTGAATCTTGCACATCATTTCTTATAGCACAATAATATTTCATCATAATCACATACCAAAATTTGTTCAGCAGTTCCCCAATTGGTGAGCATCCTCTCAATTTCCAATTCTTTGCCACCAGAAAAGAGGTGTTTTAAATATTTTTGTACATATAGGTGCTTTTCCTTTTTGTAAAATTTCTTTTGGGTTACAGACCTAGTGTATTGCCAGGTCAAAGGGTTTTACATAAGGTTTTGTAGCCCTTTAGGCATATTTCCAAATTGCTCTACAGAATGGCTGAATGAGTTCACAACTCCACCAATAGTGCACTGATGTCTCATTTTTCCCATATCCTCTCCAACGTTTGTCATTTTCCTTTTCTGTCCTGTTAGCCAATATAAGAGGTATGAGGTAGTACCGCAGAACCATTTTAATTTGCATTTTTTCAATCAATAGTGAGTTAGACCACGTTTTCACATGCTTATAGATAGCTTTGATTGCCTTATCTGAAAATTGTTCATATCTTTTCATCATTTATCAATTGGGGAATGGCTCTTATGTTTCTATAAATTTAACTCAGTTCTCTGTATGTTTGAGAAATGAAGTCTTTATCAAAGTAACTTGCTTCAAAATTTTTTTCAGAGTTACTATTGCTAATTGTATTTCCCTCTATTCTGTTCCTCCCCTCACCCATTTATTCTATTCTCTCTCTCCTTTCACCCTGTTTCTCTTCAAAAGGATTTTGCTTCTGACTACTCCTCCCTCAATCTCCCTTCCCTTCTTCTACCTCCTCTTCTCTTATCCCTTTCCCCTCCTACTTTTCTGTAGGATAGATTTCTGTCCCCGGTTGAGTATGTATATTATTCCTTCTTTGAGCCAATTCTCCTTAGAGTAAGGTTCACTCACTTCCCCCCACCTCCCCCTTCCAATTCCCCTCCACTGTAAAAGCTTTTTTTTCTTTTAGGTGAGATAATTTACCTTATTCTACCTCTCCCTTTCCCTTCCTCCTGGTACATTCCTCTCTCACCCTTTAATTTTAATATTTAGACATTATCCCTTCATATTCAACTCACACCTGTGCCCTCTGTCTATAGATACTCTTTCTAACTGCCCTAATAATGAGAAAGTTCTTATGAGTTACAAGTATCGCCTTCCCATGTAGAAACATAAGCAGTTTAACCTTATTAAGTTCCTTATGGTTTCCCTTTCCTGTTTATCTTTTTATACCTCTCTTGAATCTTGTATTTGAAAGTCAAATTTTCTATTCAGCTCTGGTCTTTTCATCAGGAATGCTTGAAAGTCCTTATCTCATTGAATTCCATTTTTTCCCCTGAAGGATTATCCTCAGTTTTGCTGGGGAGGTGATTCTTGGTTTTAATCCTAGCTCCTTTGCCTTCCAGAATATGATATCCCAAACCCTCTAATCCTTTAATGTAGAAGCTGCTAAATCTTATGTTACCCTGACTGTGGCTTCACCATACTTGAATTGTTTCTTTCTGGCTGCTTACAACATTTTCTCTTTGACCTGGGAGCTCAGGGATTTGGCTATAATATTCCTGGAACTTGTCCTTTTGGGATCTCTATCAGGAAGTGATTCTTTCCATTTCTATTTTATCCACTGGTTATAGAATATCTGGGAAGTTTCTTTCCTTGATAATTTCTTGAAGTTATCTAGGCTCATTTTTTGATCATGGCTTTCAGGCAGTCCAATACTTTTTTAGCTATCTTTCCTGGATTTATTTTCCATGTCTGTTGCTTTTCCAATTAGATATTTCACATTGTCTTCTATTTTTTCCATTCTTTTGATTTTGTTTTATTGTTTCTTGATTTCTTATAAAGTCGTTAGCTTTCCTTTCCTCCATTCTAATTTTTAAGGAATTATTTTCTTCAGTGAGCTTTTGGACCTACTTTTCCATTTGGTTAATTCTACTTTTTAAGGAGGTTTTGTTCTTCAGTGAATTTTTGTGCCTATATTCCCATTTAACCTATTCTGATTTTCAAGGCATTCTCCTCATTGGCTTTTTGTACCTCTTTTTACCATTTAGCCTAGTGTTTTTTTTTAAGGTGTTATTTTCTTCAGTATTTTTTGTGTCTCCTTTACCAAGCTATTAACTCTTTTTTCATGATTTTCTTGCATCACTCTCATTTCTCTTCCCAATTTTTCCACTACTTCTTTTACTTGATTTTCAAGCTCTTTTTGAGCTCTTCCATGGCCAATTGGAAGACCAATTTATATTTTTCTTGGAGGTTTTGGATCTAGGAGGTTTAACATTGTTGTCTTCTTCTGAGTGTGTGTTTTGATCTTCCTTGCTACCATAGTAACTTTCTGTGGAAGTTTTTTTTTTGTTGTTTTCTTATTTTCCCAGCTATTACTTGACTTTTAACTCTTTGTTAAAATAGAGCTCTGTTTCCAGGATGGAGAGCACACTGTCCCAAGCTTTAGGTTTTTTTCTGCAGCTATTTTCAGAAATATTCCTAGGGACTTGTAAGTTTTCAGTTCTTCCAAGGTGGTGTGATCTAGGTACAGGTGTGTTTGCTACTGTCCTATACTATGCACTGGTCTATAAGTGACCACAAGCACTCTTTTTTGACCTAAAACTGTGAAGATTGTCTCCACTCCATTGCAGTTGCAAGCTCTGATATGGTAGTGCTCCTTCTCACCCTGGGACTGCCACCCAAGACTGTGACCCAGATTCAAGTATGGGCAAAGCAACAGAGTCCTGCCACAGTGCTAGCAAAGACACCCCTATAATCTCCTTCTGACCAGCTGTTCAACACTCTTACCATCTCTACCCATAGAACAAAGAACAGAGCAGGATAGGAAAAGAAATAATATAATTGATTACAGGTTTGGCAGTATCAAGGAGATAAGGATGACATGATTGGTTATATTAAGGAAAATGGGCAAACACACACGTGAAGAAAAGATCACCCCTCTCTGTCTTAAAGGAATGCTTTATTGATTTATGGGACTTGACTGCTTCCTGAAGCTATTGATAGTGCACCAGGGAGAATAGATTTACTAGCTCCTGGAAAAGAGATAAGACCACTTTTAATTGGGCAAAGATGGGCTAAGATGGGACTCCATCTTGGAGTCTTTTGTCCTAAACTGAAGTAGTCATTGGGCAATTGGGTGGCACAGCAGATAGAATGCTGGGCCTGAAGTCAGAAAGACTCATCTTTCTGAATTCAAATCTAGCCTCAGACACTCACTATCTGTGTGACCCTGGGCAAATAACTTAACCCTCTTTGCCTCAGTTCCTCAACTCTGAAATAGGGGCACACTGGAGAAGGAAATGGCAAACCACTCTAGTATCTTTTCCAAGAAAAACCCATGGACAAGAGGAAGTATCCACTTAAAAATACCAGTTTATTGTTTTTTAGTAGAACTTTTCTTTACAATCCCCAGTTCATATATTCCCACCTCTATGTGATTTCTTTCAGAGATTATTTTAAATGGAAGAAAATTTCCAAATACCTCTTAAAATTTTATTTGGTTAAATAGTAGAGTCTCTTGCATTGAGAATTAGTCTACATAGGGCTAAAAATTGTCTTCTAAGTTCAAATTGTTTAATTCCCTGCCCTGTTGTTTGCTTCTAAATCACTAGTTGTTCAGGAAAAGTTGTAAAGTGATATGAATGACTTGTGTCTTTTAAAAATATTTGTCTCATTTTTTCCCTTTTTTAGGTAAGGTACATTCAAGTCTACTTCATAAATACCCAGATGACGATCTTCTCATCCTAATAGTACGACTGTCAGTAATGATGGCAGTCATCCTCACAATTCCAGTATTATTTCTCACAGTAAGTTAAAGTCATGTGCAATCTGGGAAAAGCAAAGGTATTACCTTTTCATCTATATTTGGGAAACTGCCAAGAGGAAGCCACATTGGGTAAGATTCCTAGGCTATTGAAGTTGTAAGAGATAAAGGTTCCCAAGGGTGTTTAAGTCTATTTGGGAAAACAAAATTGGCAGATAATAAGTTTGCTCTGTAATAGATGATATTTCTAATATTCTGTCTATTCTCTATTTAATAGCAACTTTATTACATAAAGTAATTGGAACCAATGTCACAAATAATAAGACAAAAATGGAAAGAATAAAAGAGAAATAAGTTCTAAGTTTGGTATTCAGGGAAAATAAATATCTATTTACACACACACACACACACACACACACATACACACACATGTTTATAAACAAAGATGTCTTTAGTCTTAAGAAAATCCACTCTCAAATCACTAATTTTGAGCTACATATAGCAATAATTAATAGGAGCAGAGCCAAGACAATGGAGTAGCTAGAAAAAGTATAGTCAACTTCAACACAATTCCACAAAGATTTAGAAAATACTCCAGACTAAGTTCTGACCAGGAAATCAAAGAAAAAAAAATCATTGTAATTTTTCCAGCCCAGGCTGGCACGTGGAGACAGATAGAAAGGGCTGCAGACACTGAGGCCAGGGGACTAACCAGGAGCACATCATGCAGAATGCTAGGGCAAAAAGAGGTTCCAAATCAACACGAAGAGACACAGCTCTGTGTGAGATGAAGAAGGGGCGGCAATTGGCAACTTGATTGATCGCTACTCATTTTGGTTATTTATGAAGAGCAGATTAAAGAATAGATATACTCCTAGGGGGTGTAGTTCCAAGAACAGGATTGGTTATAGGCTTTAGGTTGAGTACTGAGAAAAAAGGAGGTTCAAAAACAAGCAACAATTGTTTAACTCTGATCCCAGGAGTGGAGAGAGGTCTCAGTTCCACCTTCCAGTAAAGTCTGAAGCCCAAAGGAATAACCAGGAAAGGAATCACAAAAGCCTTCAGTTCTGCAACTCAGGACCAGCAGAATTTTCCAGCTGGCTGATACTGTCTTATTCCAGCAATAGTCTAATGGAAATCCAATGAAAGACAAGCCCACAATCATGCTCCTCAGACCCAAAACTAGGTAGGAGGCTTACAGAGGTCCAACTATGAGAGCGGTGATTATACTATGTCCAGGATTAGACTACTTTGGGAAGACTGAAAGCTTGTAGGTCCCCAGCTGTCCTTGAGATCCTAGAATAATGTAACACTTAATACTCTAAGAAAGCAGCAAGGATCCGAGAGGATAAAAACTTAGCCTAGATATTCCCTCCAGAACTGTGTGCAGGGGTGGGGAACCTACAGCATCAAGGCCACATGTGGCTCTCTGGCTCTTCAAATGTGGCCCTTTGACTGAATCCAGACTTCACAGAAGTGGCCACATGGGGCCTCAAGGCCACAGATTCCCCAACCCTGGTTGAAGCACTTAGCCCTAACATAAAATCTGAAGTCAGAAATCAGACTGATGGAAAGAATTACCAAATTGGGGGCGGGGGGGGGGGAGAATTCTACCTTAAAGAGTGATTATGACAACCATAAACCTAAAGAGTGATTATGACAACCATAAACCCAGAAGAAGAGAAGGATCCCAAAATATCTGCAAATAAAACCTCAAATAAAAATATAGCTTTGTTACAAGTTTAACTGGCATTCTCAGAGGAAATGAAACAAGGGTTTAAAATAGGTGTTAAAAATAATTTTCAAAATAAAATGAGAGTGCTAGAGGGGGAAAAAAATTGAAAAAGAAGGGAAAATTTTGTGGAAAAAAGATTTGGAAAAAGAATTAATAGCTTCACAAAAATTTTATCCAAGAAACAAACTCCCTAAAGATTATAATGGACCAAATACAAGCTATTGACTCCATGAAACAATAAGAAATACTAAACAGCAACAGCAGCTTTGGGAGCTCTCAGCCCATGGACATGGAAGGGGGTGGGATTAGACAAGTGATTGGAAGGAAATTGCAGGGGACTTTTTGCTGGCACTGGTTTCAAGACTTGTTGCATTTGCCCATACACAGTTCCCATTCTAGTCCCAGTTCCAAAAGGAGTGATAGCACTTGTGACCATAAGGGAGAAGGGAATCCAGATATAGTTCCAGGTGAGAGAGGAGTGCTTGTGGTCACTCACAGCGGCATAGGAGCTCTGGTCTCAATGCAAGATAGAGGGGAGCACCAGCTATTGTGGTTGCAGGAAAGCAGGTCACAGACTTAGGGTCAGGAGGAGTGCTAGTGCCGGTGGATATAGGGCAACAAGATCCCTTCCTGGGTAAAGTCCAGAGCACAAGCCAGGAGATAACTAACCACATCTCTCCTTAGATCATACCATCTTGGAAGCACTGAAAAGCTATAGACACTCTGAGTTAACACTGAAAACAGCAGCAAGAAAGATCTGAACTTTGGTACAATGCCCCCTTTACCCTGGGAGCAGACTTTAACTTGAACACAGAGTTAAAAGTCAAGAAATAGTCTGGGGAAATGAGCAAGCAAACAACAAAAAAAGAACTGACCATAGCAAGTTATTAAAGATGACAGTGAAGATCAAGACACAAACCCAAAAGAAAACAACTGTATCAAAGTAGCTACATGCAAAGCCTCAAAGAAAAATCTAAATTGGATACAACCCCAACAAAAATTCCCAGAAGAGCTCAAAATGGATTTAAAAATCAAATGAAAGAGGTAGAGGAAAAATTGGGAAAAGAAATGAGAATGGTTCAACAAAATTATGAAAAGAGAGTCAATAGCTTGATAAAAAGAGGCACAAGAAAAACTAAAAAAAAATAACACAGTAAAAAACCAGAATTTGCTAAATGGTAAAAGACGTACAAAAATCCACTGAAGAGAAGAATGCCTTAAAAAGCAGAATTGGCAAAATGGAAAAGATAATACAAAAATTCACTGAAGAAAATAATTCCATAAGAAGTAGAATTGGCCAAAGAAAAACAGGTAAAAAACCTCAATGAACAAAAAAATTCCTTAAAAATTAGAATCAGGCAAGTGGAAGCTAATGAGTCCATGAGACATCAAGAAACAATAAAACAAAGTCAAAAGAACAAAAAAGGAAGAAAATATGAAATATCTCGTCAGAAGAACTACTGATCTGGAAAACAGGCCTATCCTAGAATAAAATTCTACTCATCTATTTGACTTTTCTTATTTATTTTATGGTTTTAGATTTATCTAGCTGTGATAGGGGAAGGTTGAGGTTCCCCACTGATGCAGTTTTATTGTTTATTTCCTCCTGTAGTTCATTTAATTTTTAAGTTGGTGTGTATATGTTCAGAATTGATAACTTACCTGTTTCCTTTTAGCAAAATATAGTTTCCCCAATTATCTCTTTTTAATTAGGTGTATTTTTGCTTTTGCTTTATCTGAGACCATGATTACTCCCTTACTTTTTTTAACTTCAGGTGATGGATAATAGATTCTGCACCAGCCCCTTATTTTAACTCTTTATATATCTCTCTGTTTTCAAGTGTTTCTTGTAAACAACATATTGTTGGATTCTTGTTTCTTAATCCATTCTGCTCTCTGCTTCCATTTTATGGGTGAGTTCATACTATTCACTTCTACAGTTATGATTACTAGTTGTGCATTTCCCTCCATCCTGTTTTCTTCTGTTTATCTTCCTCTTTTTATCTTCTCCCTTCTCTCAAATCTGTTTTGATTCTGACCACTACTTTCTTTTACCTACCCTCCCTTTTATCAATCCCCTCCCCTCTTTTTTCTCATCTCCTTCCCTTCCCTTTCTATTTCCCTGATGGGTAAGATAAATTTCTATTATGAATTGAGAATGTATATATATATTTTCCCTTTTTGAACCAATTTAAATGCAAATGAGGTTTGAGTGTTGCCCTCCCCCATCCTATTTTCCTGTCCACTGTAAAAACTCTTCCTTGTGCACCTCTTGTATATGAGGTAATTTTTCCCCCATTTTTTTCTCTCCCTTCCTCCTTCTCCCAGGGTATCCTTCTTTCTCACCCATCCATTTTTTTACATCATCCAAACATAATTTACTCATTCTTGCATCATCTTTCTACGTAGAATCCTCCTAATTGCCCTAATAATAGTAAAGTTCTTAGAAGATACAAGTTTCATACTCCCTTATATAAAGGTAAAGTTTAATCTTTTGAGTCCTTTATGATTTCTCTTTCATATTTCTCTTTTTATGCTTCTCTTGAGTCTTGTATTTCAAAGTCAAATTTCTATATAGCTCTGGTCTTTTCATCATCAAATATTCATTTTTCCCTTGAAGGATTATACTCGGTTTTGTTGGGTAGATTATTCTTGGTTGTAATCCCAGCACTTTTGCCTTCCAGAACATCAGATTCCAAGCCCTCCACTTCTTTAATGTGGTAGCTGCTAAATCTTGTGTAAGCCTAACTATGGCTCCACAATGTTAGAAAGTTTTATTTTCCTGGCTGCTTGAAGTATTTTCTCTTTGACTTGGGAGCTCTGAAATTTGGCTATAATATTGCCAGGGGTTTTCATTTTGGGATCTCTTTCAGGGGGTGATCAGCAGATTCCTTGATTTTTTAACCTCTTAGTTTGAGGATATCAGGGCAATTTTCCTTAACAATTTCTTGAAATATGATGTCTAGCATCTTTCTTCGATCATGGCTTTCAGTTGATCCAATAATTCTTAAATTCTCTCTCCTTGGTCTATTTTATAGTTCAGATGTTTTCCTATGAGATATTTCACATTTTCTTCTATTTTTTTTTCATTCTTCTGGCTTTGCTTTATTCTTGCTAGGTATCTCACAGATTCGTTAGCTTTCAATTGCCCAATTCTAATTATTTTCTTCTATGAGCTTTTGTATATCTTTTTTTTTCCACTTGACCAATTCTGCTTTTTAAAGAGGTCTCATCTTCAGTGAATTTTTGGATTTCTTTTTCTATTTGGCCAGTTCTGTTTTTAAGGTGTTATTTTCTTCAGTATTTTTGTGTCCCCTTTATCAAACTGTTAATTATCTTTTCATAATTTTGTTCCTTTGCTTTAATTTTTTACCTCTACCACTCTTATTTCCTTTTGAAAATCAAAATTTTTAAGCCCTTCCAAGAATTCTTTTTGGAATTTTGGGGCAGCTAGGTGGTGCAATGGATAGAGCACCGGCCCTGGATTAAGAAGGACCTTCATTCAAATCCGGCCTCAGACACATAACACTAGCCATGTGACTCTGGGCAAGTCACTTAACCCCATTGCCAAGCCAAAAAAAAAGAAAGAATTCTTTTTGGGCTTGTGTCCAATTCACATTTTTTGAGACTTAGCTTGTAGCTGTTTTGACTTCATTGTCTTCTGAATTTGTATCTTGATCTTCCCTGTCACCACGGTAGTTTTTTACAGTGAAGTCAAGTTCTTGTTGTTGTTTGTGCATTTTTCCAGCCTATTTCTTGACTTTAAACTTTATCTTAAAGTTTAACTCAGTTCTCTGCATATGGGCGGGAGTAGGAGCACTACGCCAAGCTCTAGGCTTTTTTGCACTGCTGTTTTCAGAGCTAGTTTTGGGAGGTTGAAAGTTTTTGGTGCTTCCAAGGTGATGTGATCTAGGGAGAAATGTAGTCCTGCTCAACTGGTATGCACTGTGGACCTTACCCACAAAGGGTCCCTATTATGTCAGGATTGCAATCAATACTACTACTCCAGATCTCCCCTCCACTGGGACTGGAAATGATGCTGTTCTTTAGGGTCCCTAGGGACTTCCATTCCTTCTTGACCAAAAATGCTCATCCCTATCCTCAAGTTATGACTCAGAAATAAGCAATGGAGTTGCCAAACAATTGCCTTTCAGGATTCCTGCTCCCTCTTGACAGAAAATGCTCCTCTCTATCCTTCAACAATGACCTAGAAGTGGATATAGACAATGGAGTTGCCAAACAACATCTGGTCTACGTCCAGGGGACATCTCTGTCCTCTCTGAGCAGTTGCCAGGTCTCCTTACCATCTCTGGCTTGAGAACACCTGAATATGCTGCTGCTTCTGTTGCCAACACCTAGTCCCACCACCGGTGTTTCATCCACTTGGACTCCAGGTCAATCTCCTCCTCCATGTCACAGATCTTTCTTTCTAATCTCCTATGTTGTCTTGGGCTGGAAGACTGTCTCACTCTGACCTTTTGTTGACTCGGCCACTCCAGAATTCAATTTGAGGCATTATTAAAGTTGTTTGGAGGGGAATGTAGAGAGAGTTCAGATCAGCTGAGCACATTGTCTACTCTACCATCTTAGGTCCATTCCTGGAAATTCCTTAAAAAAAATTACATATAATTAGGAAATATTTAATGAAGTAAAAATAATTTAAAAAAAACAATATTGTAAAGACAAGCAACCTTGAAAGACTCAGGGTCTCTGATCAATGCGATAACCAACTACTATTCCAGAAGATTCATGATGAAATATGCTACCCATCTCCAAATACAGAGATGATGGACTCAGAGTGCAGAATGAGACATACTTTCTTTTGGAAATCACCAATGCAATAATTTGTTCTCCTTCACTATACATGTTTATTATCAGTGTTTTGTTTTTCTTGCTTTTTTCAATGGTGAGGAAAGAAGGAGATAGAGTGGAGAAAAAACAGAACTTCATTGATTAAAAAATTAAATTTAAGAAATAAATAATAAAAATATTTTAAAGGCATGAGGGACTATCTTTTTTGTATTTGTACCCCCATCACTTAATTGAAATAATTAATAAGTGCTTAATAATGCTTGTAGACTTGTTAACTTTATAAATGGTAAAATAGTAATAACTTAGAACAAAACATACTAAATTTTTTTATATACAACTCAAGAATGGTTTGATTCATAGTTTATTAGATATCTTTTGTTCTAGAGACTCAACTTGCTATAGGTCTCTAAAATCTGTTGAAATTGTTATTATGGTTGTTATCACTATTATTTCACAGATAGAAAAACTAGGCTATGACCTTCAAAATAACGGAAAGATCTTGAAAATAAATGTACATTTCCTACTTTCTTTGAGTGTCCATGGACTTAAAAAATAACTTATAAGATTATCTTAAAAGACATAACAACTAATGTGAAATTTTTAGCAACCTTCACAACTAACATGAAATAAGATTAGATTGAAATTAACAAAACAAATGGTTAATTGCTTGCTTTAAATCTAGAGGAGAAATTCTCTGTTTCACTCTTCTAGTGAGTCTGTCCATCTGTCATCTGGTGTGATGCTGGTCAATATTTTTACCAAAAGTTTGGATGAAAGAAAAGATACCATGTTCATTTATTTAATGGTGATAAAAAGATGCAGGGATAATTAACATATTGAATGGCAATCAGGACCCAAAAGGATATTTTTGGCTATACTGATAGGCAGAATCCTATTCACCAATAAGATGAAATTCAATAGAGATACAAGCAAAGTTCCAGACTTAGATTCAAAAACTCAAATTCATAAGAATAATAGCATAGTTAATAAGATATATAGGTGTTTTAGTGTACTGCAAACTCAATGCAAATCAGCAGAATTAAGGGCAGCCAAAAGAAAGTGAAAATGATTGTAAGTTACAGAGCAATATTATTTCTAAAGAGGTGATAGTTTTATTATATTCTGATCTAGTCAAACCAAATCTAAATTTTAGTGTTCAATTTTGAATACCATGTTTTAGGAGGACAAGTCAGACAAGTCAGGGTGTTATCCTGAAAAGTGAAATCTGTCCTATCAGCTAGGGTGGCAAGACTAGACACTATGCCATGTGAGGACTGATTGAAGTATCTAAGGATATGTTGCCTAGCGAATACAAAACTTAGGGGAAACATAACAGCTATTCTTCATGAATTTAAATGATTATCATGTGGAAAAGATAGAAAAAGAGATAAATTTTGGTTCAATGTCTATTAAAACTTCCTAACAAGTAGAATCCAAAATGAAATGGACTCCCCTTCTCTATCACTGGAAGTTATCAAGAAAAGGCCAAATGCTTACATGTACCAGATCTAAAACTGTATTATAAAGCAGCAGTCATCAAAACTAATTGGTACTGGCTAAGAAATAGAGCAGTAATCAGGTTACAGGTCAGGAATAGGTTAGGTACACAAGATATAGTAGTCAATGACTATAGTGATCTACAGTTTGATAAACCCACAGACTCCAGCTTCTGGGATAAGAACTCACTATTATGTGAAAATGCTGGGGAAAATGGAAAATAGTATGGCAGAAAGTAGACACAGCCCAACATCTCACACCATATAGCAAGATAAGATCAAAAAGGGTACATGATTTACACAAAAAGGGTGATACTATTAGCAAATAAGGAGAGCAAGGAATAGTTTACCTGTCAGATCTATTGATAAGGGAAGAATTTATGACCAAACAAGAGACAGAGAACATTATGAAATACAAAATGGATAATGTTGATTACATTAACTTAAAAAGGTTTTGCACAAACAGAACCAATGCACCCAAGATTAGAAGGGAAGCAGAAAGATGAAAAACAATTTTTATATCCAGTGTCTCTGATAAAGGCTTCATTTCTAAAATATACAGAAAATTGAGTCAAATTTGTAAGAATATAAGTCATTCCTCAATTGATAAATGGTCAAAGGATATGAACAAGCAATTTTCAGTTGAAGACATTAAAGCTATCTAGAGTCATATGAAGTCAAATCAAATCATTTTTGATTAGAGAAGTGCAAATTAAAACAACTCTGAGGTATTACATCACACTCATTAGATTGGCTAACATGAGAAAACAGGAAAAAACTATGCCTAAAGGGCTGTAAAACTGTGACTACTCTTTGATGCAGCAATACTGCTACTGGATCTATATCCCAAAGAGATAATAAAAAAGGGGAAAGGACCCACATGTATAAAAATATTTATAGCAGCTCTTTTTGTGGTGACAAAGAATTGCAAATTGAGGGGATGCCCATCACTTGGAGAATGGCTGAACAAGTTGTAGTATATGAATGTAATGGAATACTATCGTTCCATAAGAAATGATGAATAGATGGACTTCAGAAAAACCTGGAAAGACTTGCATGAACTGATGCTGAGTGAAGTGAGCAGAACCAGAAGAACATTGTACACAGTAACAGCAATATTGTGTGATGACCTACGTTCATAGATAGCTCTTCTGAGCAATGCAATGATCTAAGACAATTCCAAAAGACTCATGTTAGAAAATGCTGTCCACATCCAGAGAAAGAACTATGGAGTCTAAATGCAGATTGAAACATACCATTTTCTCTTTTTTTGTTTTTTGTTTTTCCTTTCTTGTGGTTTTTCCCTTCTGTCCTGATTCTTCTTTCACAACATGACTAATGTGGAAATATGCTTAATATGATTGTACATGTATAGGCTATATATGCTGTCTTGGAAAGATGGGAAAAATTTAGAACTCAAAATCTTATAAAAGTGAATACTGAAAACTAAAATTAATTAATGAAAAAGGAAAAAATAAAAAGGCCAAATGATCACTTGTAAAAGATGCTGTAAAGGAGAGATCTGTTCAGACAGAAGCTCAGATGACTTCTGAGGTCCCTTCCAACTCTGATATTCCATAGTTCTGAGATTCCCCAAATGTAACAGTTTATTCATTGTAGAAAATATTTGAATGTTATATGCTATCTACTGACAGAATTCTTTGCTTTCTTTTCCTACAGTCTCGTGAATCTCTGGCTGAACTACTTAAGAAAGCATATTTCAATTTAAGCGAACGTATTGTGATTGCTGTGATAATCTTAGGTTGTATCAACCTTTTGGTAATCTGTGTACCTACTATGAAAGACATTTTTGGAGTCCTGGGTACAATATGGCAATTTTATACCAATTGTTCAATAACAACTTTTAGGGAGTTTAAATTCCATAATAACAGAAAACTGTTTTTTTGATCACTTTATAGGGACAACAACTGCCAATATGTTGATCTTCATTATTCCTACAATTCTGTTTTTAAAAATCACAAGCCAGGATAGTGCCAAAAAAAAAGAAAGAATTGGGGTATGTTTTATGGCTGCTATTTATTTATATTTTTCATTTTGTGCATCATTAAAACTTACCAAACAACTAGTTTGGAAAATACATAGTCATACTGAAAATACGTTGTAAATTACTATTGCCTTGATGGGATGCACAGCACTGATTAGTCAAGTTAAAATAGAACATCATTCTTCTCAGTTCCCTAAGAAAATGTTTATTAGATTTAACTTACATTATAGGGAAATCATCCACGTTAGTCACACCTCTTTATGTATCTATAGGGCAATACCTAGTTCTAAACAACTTTAGGACAAGCCATCTCCATGAGGATACCTCATATAGCCAAAAGAACATGAAGTTATATGACTTAAACAAAATATATGAATTAGTTAAAGCAATCTTCCTATGTTAAATAAATAAATAAGATAACTGTCAGTAAACCCATTCTTTGATGCCTTATTGTGGCATGAAGATGACACTGGCTATTAAAAGGCTCTGCTAGGAGAGCCCAAGTTCTGACAGGCAGGTGCTGCCAATTTGGAAAGAATATAAATATAGACAAGGAAAGGAGTGAATGATTGCTGTCTAAGGACAAGCTTGCTAAATTCAAAACATTGACCATTAAATAGGTTTTTATTCTAACCATGGCAGCTTATAGAAACTGTCTGCTAAAGTGCAAAGATATGATCTTCATTGGTAGAAGAAATATCCACACTGATAAGACCATAGGTCCTTAAAAATTTAAGGAAGTAGATTGACAAAAGTGCTTTGGTATAACAGGCCTGGATTCAGAAACTACTTTTCTATATTTGGGAAGCTTGTTTCCAAATCTGATCAAGTTCAACGGCATCTTTAATTTCTTATACTTGGATACTAGACAGTAAAGAAAGCAAGTGTGCTGTGGCTGCTACAATGAATATCTTTTGGAGCACCATTTTTGTTATCCTGAGAAAGGCTTCTCAGGTTCTTTTCCAACTAGTGTAAACATGGTGACTACATGTGTTACCTGAGATGACAGTTATCACAAAATGAACGCAGAGCTAGCTTCTTTGAATGAATCTACACTGCTATTCAAAATAAATTAATAGTACACATTTCCACATGTATTTGAGAAACATTATCTGCACTTGATAAAATATGACACTTGTAGCTAGATCCCTAGCTACTTCTTGTCATTGGGTCTTTCAGTCATGTCCCACTCTTTGTGACCCCATAGATAATGGGATTTTTCTTGGCAAAGATAATGAAGTGATTTGCCATCTCTTCTTTTTCCCTTTTTTTTTCTTTTTTTTAGGCATTTGTGGTTCAATGACTTGCCCAGGGTCACATAGCTAGTAAGTATCAAGTGTTTGGTCTGAGGCCGGATTTGAACTCAGGTCCTCCTGACTTCAGGGCCAGTATACCCTGCCATCTCTTTTTCTAATGTGTCTCCATTTTACAGATGGGGCAAATAAGGGTTAAGTGACTAGCCCAGAGTCACAAAGTCACAGAACTAGTAAGTGTCTAAGCCCCAGTTTGAATTAAGATCATCCTTACTCCCACCCAGTGCTCTATCCACTGTGCTATCTAGCTGCCCCTGGCTGCTAAGGACTTAGGACTTACTAAGTAGTAGTTAGTGAGGAAAATGTAAGAGTTCTAATAGAATCCATCACTGATCTTCTTCAACTATTAGTGACCTCCCTCCTCATCTCCCTTGTACTTATTTTGTTTATTCTGTGTATATTTAGCTATATAAATGGTGTCTCCTCTATAGGATGTAAGCTTCTTCAGAGTAAGAATTGTTTCATCTTTTCGTATTTGTATCCCAGTGCCTAGAACAGTACCCAGCACATTTATAAATGCTTTCTGATTGATAGATTGATTTAGCATCAAATTGAGTGGAGATTAAATTTTTAAATGGTGTAGGTGTGTTATCCATAAATCTTGTTTATCAATAAACAACTTTTCCAATAAAAACTGACTGCTTGTATTTCTTAACTTTATTCACCCTTCCTTCTTCCCTGACCAGAATTGCTCTCATCCTTTTCCAGTTTTTCATTTTAACAAGGAAAAAGCAAGATCAGGGAACAGGGAAAGTATTCTTACTTTAGCCAAAATATTTATTTTAAGAAAATACCTAAAATTTAAAAAATAAAATAAATTTAATTTAATTTAAAAAATAAAATCACCTAAAAACATGTGCTTTATTTTCCTCCCAGGCTATTTCTCTCTTAGTATTAGGAGTCATATTCTCCACCGTCAGCATTCCTTTGGTCATCTATAATCGGGCAAATTCTGAAGATAAACCTGAAACATAATGAGAGCACTCTACATTTGGAAAAATAGTATATTTTTGTTTGCTGCTTATCCAACTTGCCTTCAATCAAATCATCTTCTCCATTGCTTTGTTTACCAGTTTACACAGTGAAAAGGAAATTGTAAACAGTTGAAAATGTATAATCAAATACTCATTTAAAATACAGCTATATCCCTCAGTTGTTTGGAATCACTTTAAGGATTTTGTCGTTAGTTTTTATAGAAAATTTTATAGAAATTGAAAAGAAGAGAAAGGATTTCTGGGGGTTCCTAGTATTTGTATGTGCAAGGCAAGAGCAATAGTCTTCAGTGGGCTTTTGATGCCTTAAGGGCATTTCTTATAACAGGCTGACTTTCTAGTGAATCCCCTTTCTTTTCTTCCTTAGACTCAAAGCAAAATTGGCTTCCTGCTGCTTTTTTCCCCCTCCTTTTCCATAAGGACAAAATACGGTTTTGACCCTGTCCTCTGGTCTATGAAGCACACACACGCGCACACACACACACACACACACACACACACACACACACACACATCTCAGGTTTCCTAAGAATTTTTTTTTATGGGTGTACTATGCTTTCTCTTCCTATGCTTTCCCTTCTACCTTTCCTTTTTCACTTAGACTCCCTAAGAAAATACATAGCCCGTATAAATAATAATTCTATGTTCTAAGTTTCACAAAGATTATAGTAAAGCCTTGACCCAGCTGTCCTGAATAGTTTCTTTTTTTCTACATAGTGGTAGTTTTATCATTACGTATGCAAAAAAAAATCATGAAAATCCAAGATATTAGCATATGTTTTATTTTCCTTTTTAAAATTATTTTTAACACCTTAAAAAAATTTTTTTTGAGTTCCAAATTCTATCTCTTTCTTACCCCTAATCCAGCTTACTGAGAAGGCAAGCAATATATTAATTACATATATGAATTATGTAAAACATATAGCCATATCACAAAAAGGAGAGAAGAAGAAAGTGAGGAAATTATCCTTCAATTGTACTCAGAGTTCATCAGTTTTTTCTCTGGAGGTGGGTAATATTTTTTCATCACCAATCCTTTGGAATTGTATTAGATCATTGTCTTGATCAAAGTTACTAAGTCTCCCACAGTTGTCCATCATTAAAATATTGTTATTACTGTGTACAGCACTCTCCTGGTTCTGCTTTCTTCACTTTGCATCAGTTCACATTAGGTCTTCCCATATTTTTCTGAAACCATCCCCTTTGTCATTTCTTAGGGCACAATCATATGCCACAGTTTGTTCAGCCATTTTCCAATAGAAAAGCATTCTCTCAATTTGCCACTAAAAAAAAGGGCTGCTATAAATATTTTTGTACATATAGGTCCCTTTTCTTCAATTACTTTGAAGTGCAGATCTCTTTGGTAGTATTGCTGGGTCAAAGGGTATGCACATTTTTATTGCCCTTTGGGCATAGTTCCAAATTGTTCACCAAAATGGTTGGACTGGTTCCCTGTTCATTAGTGTACCTATTTTCCCTCATCCCTCCTTAATGTGTCATTTCTGATAGGTTTGAGATGGTTTCTCAGAGTTGCTTTTCTCTAATCAATTCGTCTTTCTCTAATCATTAGTGGGGGCAGTTAGATGGCAGAGTGGATAGACTGATGGGCCAAGTCAGGAAGACTCATCTTTCTGAGTTCAAATCTGGCCTCAGGCCCTTACTAGCTATATGACCCTAGAAAAGTCACTTAACCCTGTTTGCCTCATTTCCTCATCTGTAAAATGAGTTGGGGAAGGAAATGGCAAGCCACTCTAGTATCTTTGTCAAGAAACCCAAATAGAATGATGAAGAGTTGGCTATGACAAAAACAGCTGAATAACAACCATTAGTGATTTAGAGCATTTTTTTTCATATGGCTATAGATAGCTTTGATTCGTTCTTCTAAAAACCACTTGTTCCTATTCTTTGACCATTTATCACTTGGGGAATGGTTCTTATTTTTATAAATTTGACTCAGTTCCCTAAATATGTGAGGAATGGGGCCTTTATCGGAGACATTTGATGTAAACATTTTTGTCTATGGTACTTTTTAGCAAAATGTAGTTTCTCTCATTAATCTCTTAAAATTAAATCTAATTAAATTAAATCTAATTAAAGGTCTATTTTTGCTTTTGCTTCGTCTGAGATCATGATTGCTGTCCTTGCAATTTTTACTTTCAATGAAGCATAATAGATTCTACTCCGGCACTTTATTTTAACTCTGTATGCATATATCTTTCTGTTTCAAGTGTGCTGCTGGGCCCATAGGGGCCAGGATGCTGGGCCTTTTGTAAAGGGCCCCTCTGCTCTGGATCTGGGTATGCAGTCTGACCAGGTTCAGTCTTGAGAAGCCTGGCCACTAACAAAAGTATGCTCCCTTTTTTCATAGCCCCCAGTTTATTAAACCCCTATCTTAGTGCCTTGGAGATGATTTGATTACAGCTTAAATTTAGTTTTATCCCTACGGTTTTCCTAAAGGAATAGGAAAAGGTTGTCAAAGTACAATATGAATCAAGCATGAGACAGTGTTTTGTTTTGTTTTGTTTTTTAATTTCCTGCACACCAGTGAAGAACAGAAAAAAATATAAGTGCTCATTGATAATAAAATTTAAAACAAGATTCAGTAACATCTTGTAACTACAGTTATATCCCTTGGGAAGTTAATACTTAAACCTTAGCAAAACATAGAGTAGTTTCTGGGATTACTCATTAGGTATTTTAGATGTCACTTTACTCTTCCTTGTCCAATTAAGTCCTAGTACATATCTACTGGTAAAACAGCCAGACTTGACCAATCCTCAGGCTTCCTTTCTAATGCAAATAAACTTCCCTTACTACCAGGCTGTTCTACTCACTGGGCCCAGAATCTCTGAACCTTTCAAACTCATGAGGTCACCTCCGAGCCTAGACATTACCACACAAACAGAAAAGGCAGCTAGGATCCTAAACACAAGATCACTTAGTTGAGTCCATTGGTACAGAGGTGCAATAGAATGAAGGAGCATAGCTACCTACCTCACCACCTCACAGGGAGTTCAGAGGATACACTTTTTGCAAATGGGGTGGGAGTGGGAGAAAATTGAAGCAAGACAGGAAATATAGCCAGAAGCTAACTCTGCTTTTTAAAAAAATCCATGGAGTCATCTGCTTCTCTGGCTGAGTGGACAGTGTGGGGAGTCACTTTGTTATTTGAAAGCATTCATGTCGAGTGAATCTTATTCTCATTGGATTTGGCTTAAGGAGAGAATAACATGCACACTCAATTGCGTATGGCAATCTATCTTACCCTACAGGAAAGTGGGGGGGGAAAGGGACAAGAGAACAGGGGGATGATAGAGGGGAGGGCAGATTGGGGGAGGGGGAAATCAGAAGCAAACACTTCTAAGGAGGGACAGGGTCAAAAGAGAGAATAGAATAAATGGGGGGCAGGATAGGATTAAAGGAAATATGCTTAGTTTTTCACAACATGACTACTATTGAAGTGTTTTGCATGACTACACATGTATAACCTATATCGAGTTGCTTGCCTTCTCAATGAGGGTGGATGGGGAGGGAAGAAGGGAGAAAATTTGGAACCCAAAGTTTTAAAACCAAATGTTTAAAAAAGTATTTTCACATGCAACTGGGAAATAATATATATAGGAAATGGGTATAGAAATCTATCCTGCCCTACAGGGAAATTGAAGGGAAAAGGGATAAGAGAAGGGGAGAAGAGATAGAAAGGAGGGGAGATTAGGGGAAGAATGAATGCCATCTTGGGGTGGAGGGAGGGATGAGATGGGGAGAAAATTTGGAACTCAAAATCTTGTGAAAGTGAATGTTGCAAACTTAAAATTAATCAATCAATCAATCAATTAATTAATGAAAAAGGAAAAAAAGAAAGCACTCATGTCCTTTAGCACTAAGCCATCACATTATTGAAGGCAGATAGGAAATTCATCATTTCTGATAAGCCAAATGCTAATGTCCTTGAAGTTTCCTGGGGAGCTAGTGTATGTCCTCCTGAATAGCTATTCAAATTTTTGCTATAGTAGTAAGACCTGTTTCCAATTTTATTGTGATGCACTACTGACACATAATAAAAATGTTCAAATGTTTTATTCTCATAATTTTCCTGCTTTGGTAGTCAGTACCATTTATATTAAAAGTTTTTAATACAGATGGGGTTTTTGTCATCTCTGATTTCAATGTGTATTACTTCTTGGAGGTCCAAAACATGAAAAAAAAACTATTTATTTCACCAGTCTTGAGGTCCAATTTACTATCACAACACCTTTGAGTAGGGCCAGCGATGTTATGTTGCCCCATTTAATTTGTAGATTCATAGAAGCAGTTTCTTCACACTAACTGATCACACAACCTAATCAGCTAAGAAATTCAAACTGATTCTACTTTGTAATTGATTCTATATTGTATTGACTTCATATTGTATTGCTTCTGTATCTACTTAGGTCCCCTCTCTATGTCCTTTAATTAAGTGCAGGAATTTAGCTTTCCCCTCAGAGATAGTTTAAAGATCAGCCTGACCCTAAGTCATTATAATTAAAAGGAAAGGATTATCATCAGCCTGACCCTAAGTCATTATAATTAAAAGGAAAGGATTATCATCTTCTGTACCAAGACATCCATTGTTATCTCTATGCTGTTAGCTAGCTCTAAGAAATATGTTGTCCTGTTAGTGAAAGTAATTTACTGTAATGGAGAAAAGTAATATTACTGCACCTTGGCACTATAGTTAATAAATGTATACAACTTGTTTGCCTTTGTTCACCTTCTGCATGCATCTGTCCATAGTGCTAAATTTTCATGAGTGTATTTTTACTGCATTGTAAATTCTTAATCAACCTGTCTTGTTAGGTTGTATAAGATGTTCGTGTTTAATGAAACACCTGACATCAATCTTGAAAAAAAGAAAGAAACAAAGAAAGAAAAATATGTTGTTGCTGAACATTAAGGAAAGCTGGTATCTTCCTAACAAACCTTTCTTGGTGCCAAGGAGTTGGCTAACTTTGATCCACTAGCAAAAATTATAGGATACAGATGGATCTCATAAATCAGTCAGCATTTGTTAATGACAGAGTGAAGTGGTCACTA